CTCCAAATTGGTATCCTCATTCCGAATAAATATTTACCACGCCTTGACAAAAGAAAAGAGCTTACTTATTTATTGATCTGAAATCTGAATCTTCACAGAAGAAATCATCATAATGATTTTATTTATTTTTAAGCATTTACCTGCTAGATGCTAGATGATTAAATCTAAAGATTATATCTTAAGATTAATCTTTAGATTTAATCATCTTAATGTTAATTGAAAGGTCCACAATCAGTTTAAAGATTTTTAATGTGCATGCAGGAAAATATCCACAAGTGTATTTTGTTTTAAGCTTTTATTTAACTTCAATCTATGATTATAATTTTTATTATGTAAGCATGTAACTGCTTGATGTTTAAATCTAAAAAAACATCAAGCAGTTACATGCTTACAAAATAAAAATTATAACTATAATTGCTATTTCTTTTTTCAAATGTTTAATACTTGTAAAAGTATTCATTTGACATTGTGGGTAACCTATAATGCGAAGAGATGGCGCTGCCTTGCAGCGTAAGAATGGCTAGAAGAATTTCAACGCAGCCATCATGGCCGCGGTAGCATAATTGGTCAGTGCATTCGCCCGGATAGCGAAGGATGCGGGTTTGAGTCCCGTCTGCTGCCTGGTGCGCGTGGATTTGTTCAATCTATGATGTTTTGTATACGTCATTGGCTTCAATCGTTTGTCAATCATCTGTTTTCGTTTGCAAACATTGCATTTTGTCAGTCGGTAATTTTGATTACTGACTGACAGAATTGCAATCTAAATTTGACCCAGTTCTTGGTTTTCGATTGAGCTGAAATTTTGCTTGGAGCTGATGATGGTGCTAGGAGGTGGTTATGGTAAGTGCATTGCCTCTTCAATAACAGCATACCGTAACTGACTCCGTGTTGCTCTGAATCAGCAATCAGAGAGCAAAAAAATATAAAGCAAAAAGCTTTCTTCAAATCGAAATAGAATTGTTGTTTGAACTTTTGTGTATTAAATACAGTCTCATTATATTACATTACAATCAATACAAGATTATTTTTTATAATACCTAGGTACCTAAATTGTTTTTCCTTCGTGACTTTCATAGATTCGAAGTGAAAACTATAAAGAGTCTCTTTGACTAAATAAAACTAGTTTTAACGGGTTAATGCACGAAACTTTATTTATTTATTGACGTTTCGCAGCCTTTTCAGGTCTGCATCGTCAGAATACTTAACTCTACGTCTAATTGAGTATTCTCAATATTCAATTAAACGTCAATAAATAAATAAAGTGTCGTGCATTAACCCGTTAAAAATAGTTTTATTTAATGAGTGATATGCGTGAAAACCTAAGAAACAAATAAGTCTCTTTGACTAAATCAAGTATCAACCATCAATGTTCTGTTACACAAAATTCTCCTATAATGCTCCCTAGAATTCTATAAATACAAACGGACTTATAAAAAAATGCTTCATCCAACCTCCGCTGGCGTTTCCGCGAATCCCTTACTTAGCTTTGCCGTTTAGCTACGCGTGCCTGTCTTAAAAACACATGTTTCCTTTGACAGAAAACAGCTGTCAACCATTCAAGAATTAGAATAAAACTGTTTTCTACGCCAACATACGTGAATAGGCGAGGAAGTCTGTATCACGTTGGTGATAGAGACGAGTTTGGCTTGTGTGTGGTGTTGTTAGTCAGCTGATCGCGGCCGTGGCGTAAACAGGATGCGCAGGCTCATGGCACGGTAATAATAATATTACCGTGCTCATGGGGAGGGCCTGATTTATTTATTAGAAGTCAGCTGAGCGCGTCGCCGGCGCCGGCACCCGACTCCGACCAAGGTGAACTAATTTTGGAACTATGCAGGTGCCTTTTTTAAGTTATGTTAATTACAGAGTTGTGTTGTTATTTTTATGGGCTCCGTGATAATAAATGTTACGTGTAAATAGAAGTAAAATTGTATTTACCGTTGATCAAAAGACGTAATGTAACAGTATCTTTGAAAAAAGAAATACATGGCTATACCAACAAGTGCATGTCATTAAAGTGTTGATAATTTTTTTTCCTTGTTTTCATGATGCAAAATGACAGTCAAAACAAAACTAAAATATAGCAAGTGCAGTGTATATGTAAATAAATGTATTTATTTATAGATTGTCATCAATTTCATGTTCGTATGTGTATGTTTTTATTCATTATTTAAGTACTTGTTTATATAAACCACATATTTATTGGTATTAACATGTATTTATATTCAGGTGTACACGCTGACTACCTTTACCTATATTCTTTCCTACTACGGGCCTACTGGGAGAAACAGATTGAAATAATTTGTGCTCTTGTACATGTAATCTTTAATTAAGTTGCTCCTGTATAATTTTTATGTGTACAGAATATATAAATACTTAAATAAAATAAATAAATGACTGTTGCTGTACGTTCACCTTTATTTTAGGAGGAAGAGTAGTCCCCCTAAATGTAAATAAATAGTTAATTTTTACATTATAGTCTATGCCCTGCTTTGTAATCTACGCCGCAGCTCTAGGACTAGTCCCCTTCAAACTACCTATACATTGATTATAGTAAGATTGATAACTTAAATGTGCATGGTAATTATGAACCTACTAGCTGTGCCCCGCGGTGTTACCCGTGGTTTATTAGGGATATTTTCCCGCAGTAAAACGTAGCCTCTGTGTTAATCCAGGGTGTCGAGCTAACTCCATAGCAAATTTTATTAAAATCACTCCAGCCGTTTAGGCGTGAAGAAGTAACAAACATACACACTCACTAACTTTCGCCTTTATAATATTAGTGTCTATTTATTGAGTACTAGGGGCTGTCCGGGACTTCATATGAGTTAGTTTTAGTTTTTTGAAAATCTCTGACGAACCTATAAATTTTCCGGTTTAAACATATTCTATATCTCGATCGAGGTCGTAAACTACAGGTGTAAAAAAACCTATGACAAAGACTAAAACTACGCACCTGTACACCCAAACAAGTAATATTACAAAATAATGGTGCCAATTCTGACGTGTATTTAGAAACATTTGTATTTTAAAGTTAAAAAAAATCAATTTTTATTCCAGTACCCAATGTATAGCGTGGCACGCTACTGTGGCGCTACGCAAACAATGTGCCTGTGTGTATGTGTGTAAGTGCGTCGATGATAAAAAAGTTTCTAAATAACGTTTTTGGAAATCTTGAAAAAGTCACAAAAAAAAAAAAAAAAAAAAAAGGTGTGGTCCAGAAAAATAATGATCGTCATGATGTGGAAAATACGTGGCCTTCGACTTCCTTAAAGGTTTTTTTACACTCTGTGTATGCAACCAGTAGGTAAGTACCAATTTTTATTCACATCCGTCCGTATGCTTTTGCGTGATTGAGTAACAAATATTAAAAACTAAAACTTAAACTTTCACATTTAATGATATTAATAGGAAGTAGGATGAGCTTAGATCAACAATACAGGTATTGTCAATTGAAGAGTATTTAAATAGAAAATAAATGTATAATAATGGACGTAATTTAATAATTTAACTAAAGAACAAATCGTAAGATATTTATAACTAAAAACCTTAAAATATATAATAACTAAAATACATTATACAGGAGTCCCTTTAGGCAAGGTTCCAAAGATATTGGCAGCGTTCCCCCTTTGAATAGTTAGACTAATTCTTTGTCCGAGGTAGCTGCCAGCTCTTCGGTCTCCTGTGATGACGACCAACCTTTTTGCTATTTCCTAAAAAAGCCTTACAGCGCTAGGACCCCACGGACCAAGGGTCTCGACACCGAATGGGACAAAATCATATTCGGAGCCTAGACCCCTGTATTTGCATGCCTTAGCTTTTTCAGCCGCTTCGCAAGCCGCACCAGCTCTGTTGTTGGTTCCATGTAGATGGGAAGGGGCCAGTGTGTCTGAACAGGTTGCATCCCATACTAGCACCCGGCCCATCTTCCATGGAATCAAACTCACACCGTCAGGTCTCTTGCCATCATCTCTTGCAATACCAGTTGGCTCAAGTAGACTTGGCACGTTGACGGTGGCAAGGGACCGGCGTATGATATCGTTAAGTGCGGCATGTCTCGAGAAGCGGCCTGCACTTTTTATGTTTCGAAGAGTATTAGAAATTAAAAAATATGAGATTGAAATGTTAAATTTACATTGAGATCACATCAGCGTGGTAAGTAGATCATGGAATCAAACGCTACCCAAAGGCAGACCACAAATGAGATGAAAAGATGAGTATCAAGATTGTGGCTTTCAGCAACTATACACTCAGCCCGAACCAATATCGAATTCGAATAGTTCGCGAGTCCGAAAAATCTTGTATGAAAACTTAAACAGCAGCGCCACAAAGTACGTAACGAGAACTAAACATCAGTACACATTTGACAATGACATTTCGTACTCGCAAACGATACGATTTCGATATTGGTTCGTGCTGGACTGGATCCTGAAAGTAACCAAAATTGAGATAAAAGCGAACAAAAGAATAGACTTTAAAAAGTCATACGCCAAAATCTTGGTTGAAGAAGACAGAAAAGAAGTGAAGAGAACAGAACGTGGTAAGGAGGCTCGTGCTCAGAGCCGGACCGCGGGTTAAGGGGGCCCTGGGCTAATACTATTTAGGGGCCCACCTAATTACTCAAAGAATAGAAAAAAATGAGACAGTAAAATATTTATATTATATTAAGCCTTAGTATTATACTACTGTTAATAAATTGACAAATTACAAAGCAACCTTTCTGCAAAGTGCAGACATGGCAATTTCTTTAATTTGCTCCTCACATTCTAGGGGTAATATAAATGGGGTTACATTCAACAATGTATTTTTTCTACATTGAATGTACTTCTAATTCAATCACTAGTTCAGCTTCAGACATCTATTTTGAATTTATTATATCTGCTAAGGCAATTCAGCGATATTTGTCTGTCTGAATTTCCGATCTGTTTACTTTAATAAAAGTATGGATTCTCTCGCATTATCGTCTATTTTTGGCTTTGACTTGTGTTAGCTGGGGGCCCCTTGAATTCACGGGGCCCTGGACTGAAGCCCAAAAAGCCATATGGTAGATCCGGCCCTGCTCGTGCTGAATAGGAAATTATTAAAATAGGCTTTACTTACTATGCATTTATTCTTCTTTATCTTATTATTAACGTCAGAGATCTATTAATATAATTTTCATACGTACAATAATTCGTAAACGTTAAAATAAACCATTAAGGTAATCTCTCACACATAGTTTTAAAAATATACACATACATTCAGATCGCAATTTTTGGTCAGACCATAAAATACTTATTGACATTAATACTTTTAAAACATTTAACCTAATTAATAGACGTTTTTGTATCAAGTTTTCATGTAAGTATGTAAAATTATTGGTAGGAAAAAACAGCTAAGAGTATCACAACGATATTTGAAAACTACTGGTTAATGATTGTGTAGGTACTACGTATAACATAAAGACCAAATTTTCAAACTTTACTTATATTTTTTGTATGAGACAGAAAAACTACTTTGGGTTTTAAAGTATCTAGGGTACAATTTATGCGTTTATTTTGGGTTACAGTACAGATAGGTAGTGTGATTGAGTGTTAACCATAAATAAATTCAAAGATAATATAAAAAAGCACTTATTAAAAAAGCTTATTACAAAGTGTCTGATTATATTACAGACAAATATGCTTGGGTTTGAACTGTTCCAATCATTCCAACAGGTTTTCTATATTAAATAAATCATGATTGTATTGACGTTGTAACAACATAATGATTTTTAAATGTTGTTACATTATACTTTTAATGTTGCGGACTTTATTTCGCTCGTTTTTCTCCGCAGCTAAAAGATATATCCAATAACGAGTGGAAGGGAAAAAAATGTTTGCACGATTCAAAAGTGTGTATAGTACATACATCCAATTTTATTGAATAAAGATATATTGATTTCTGATTGATTGCAAAGTTACTGTAGAACTTCATACTTAAGAATAAGAAGTACTTACTTTTCACTACCTACTTAGTACTTGACACAGAGTTTAAGAGTCGTCGCGTGAGATTTAATTTTATTATTTATAGAGAACTTGTTTTTTAACGGAGAGAGCTTAATAAAAAATAAGCTGGGAAAATTATAAATATTTGACTTGTATATTTTTAGAAAATCTCCTATTTTTTCGGGATTACAAGTTAAATTCAAACCCACGCTAAGCTCTAATACATCGAAATCTGCTCGGACTATTTTTATTTTTTTAAAGTTAAGTATTAAAATATTATGATTTTCCCGAATAACTCTATTTACACTGTTTTTTCTTTCTCTTTGCACGATTCTCTTGTGCTTTCTTTCATATATTAAACTAACTTATGGATATTTACAGGTAACTTAATATTTTCACATTTAACAATATTCTTATGTAATGTTGGCACTTCACATGACTATTCGTATTTGGTATTCGTAAGGATATTTGAGTCAAATCTCTTTGACGACCTCCGTGGGCGAGTGGTCTGTACGCCGGGTTTCATGGTGTCGCCGACTTCAGAGGTCCCGGGTTCGAATCCCGGTGGGGGCAGATGCTTGTATGATGGAAACGAGCATTTGTACTCCAGTCGTGGATGTATAATTATGTATTTTCGATATAAATATATGTAGATATGTACAATATATTGTTTTAAACTTTCATGGTCACTAACATTATAGCTATTAACGGGATTGTTACCATGTACCTTGTTTTTTATGAGTCTCCGATATTTCGGCACTGTTGCAAGCGCCATGATCACGGAGTAACTGAAGTAATTGCGGGTAGATGTTATTGGCAGACATATCGGTCTACCCTCTGACGTCGTCTTTTACTGCGCTCGATACCCCTACCATTGGCCACATTCTCACTATTCTCACTATAAAAAACAAGGTACATGGTAACAATCCCGTTAATAGCTATAATATATATGTACAGTATATGTATTCTGTTCGTTAACCTAGTATCTTATAACACAAGCCTTACAGTGCTTACTTTGGGGCTAGGCTAGTTGGTGTGAGTGTTGGAAATATTTATTTATTTATCTCTTGATTTACGCCTGGGGGAGTAACCTCCACCTTACTGAATACCACATTAAAATAACTACCTTTCGGTGTTGTTGTGTTTCTGTCTGTGCCAAGGTTCTACGGGGTAGGGGATAGGGTCAGGCGTAGGGTTACCATCCGTCAGGATTAGTTCGGACATGTCCGGACTTTGCCCGGATATTTAAATTCTCCGGATATTTTAAATTACATGGAATATGAATAATAAAAGTACATATTGATTTAAATACCATACCATTGTAACTAAGTGAGTGATGGTACCATTTTGTGACTAAAAAGTCCGGACTTTTTTCGAAATGTCAGGATTTTTGTCAGGACCTCTGAAATTCCTAAATGGTAACCGTAGTCAGGGTAGACAACGGCGCGAGTTATAGCTTTGGTAACGCAAGGTTTAAGCTATGGTGGCCGCTTACCATCAGGCGAGCCATATGCTTATTTGTCACTCATTTAACATAAAAAACTACAAATAGCGCGTAGACATGCGAAGTACCAGAATTATATATGTTTTGCCTTATTATAATAATATTTTTGGACTTTCAATGCACTTTTAATTAAACAAATACACACTATTTCGATATGCTGTCCATTTTGCAGCACTCAAACTTACTTATCTATATAAAGACACTTTTTTAACAACTAGTACAAAATACTGATTTGTTTTAATCAAAATTCACACAACCTTTGCTTAATTAAGCATTGGTAACAAAATTTTACATTATTTTAATATAAAAGTGGCGATTAGATTTCAGTTAAAAAAATATTATATGTACCTAGTTAATACGAATTACATCTAAGACTAAAATTTTCTCATTATTTTAATGTAATACTTTATAATAACGAATAGTTTTGACTTTGGTCGTTTGGTTATGTTATAAAATAGGTTTTGAATATTACTAATATTCCCGTGTAAGGTAGATAAAATTACCATTATTTCCGGAAAACGCGGTACCTAATTACCAATTAAAAACATCTAGGAATTCGGAATATTCACACAGATAAATTACTAATTAGTAGTAATATTCCGACATATTCCACGAAGTGGGGATTGAGTCGGGGTAGGCAACGGCCCGAGTGATATTTTTGGTATCGTAAGGCCCATCCACCATAGGCGCGTTGCGTTATTATCGGTCGACAATATCGGATGCATTATTGCTGTATGTTTTAGTACATAATGTATTAGGACGGCTACGAAGTTACACATTGCTATGATAATAACGACGCAAAAGAAGTATGATGAAAAATCGCATTAACGCATTCGGTCTTATCGACCGATAAAAACGCGCCTATGGGCGGGAGACCTTAAGCGGCCACAATATCCTATAGACGCTTGCGATAACAAAAATTTTTATTCGCGACATTGCCTGCCCGGTGATGTGTCAACCAATTACTGCTTATTAGTAATTTACCGGTAGGAATATACCGAATTTCTAGTAATTACCTCATTTATAATTACCGCGTAACATCAGGCGGGCGGTGTGCTTCTAAGCCACCTATTTCAAAAATATGAAATATTTTATACTCAGATTACTAAACTACAGGCAGATGGAGCGCACGGTACACAGATTGCGTGCCACCAAAGCAAATATCAAGTCCAAAGCGAATATCAACTCACGTCAGTACACTACAACGCGTCGTGTTGTGAACACGTCCCGCGAATATTAAGTTTTTATCAAAACCGTGCCGCCTTGTTCAAACATTGTAAAAACTGTTCACAAAGACAAAAAAAGTCTTTAATTTTGATTTCGCATTTGCTTTGGTTCCGTGCGTTCCATCTATCTGCCTTTTGTTCAGCAACCTGAGATTATATAGAAAAAAGTATCCATTCAGTCAATGTTGTGCCTGTTGGTTGCAGTTGTAATAGTAGTACAACCATTGCAAGTATGAGGCTCAGGAGGGTTTCTCTTCCTCCTTGTCGTCGTCGCTGCTGGAGGAGGAGGCTGGAGCCCTGGCCCACAGGCTGGCGTAGCTCTGCTGCTCGGCCACCAGGGTTTCCTCAGCCTCCATCACTGCCTCGAATAGTTTCCTCTTGATCCTGATCTGAGTGGGGAACGGGAACCGCTTCGTTGATTGGCACATGCTGGAACAAAAGTTATGGTATTCGAATTCTATATTGTTAATCCAGTTTCGACGCCTCGTCTTCACCGAGTCGGTGCCAAGGGCGGATCCAGCTTTGGCGCCAAGGGGGGTCATAGAGTCGTGGACAAGTAACAGTGGGAACAGATTATGAAGTACAGATTGTGAAGTGGGTACAGATGGACCCAGCCTAGGGGGGGGTCATGACCCCTATGACCCCCCCTGTGGATCCGCCCTTGGTCGGTGCGGGCTTGTTTCGTTTTCGTTTTTTCTGTACTGAATCTGCCATCAGGTAGCGTTTCCTTTTGTTTGCGGGAGTGACGGGACGGGCGAGTCTAATGGTTCGGTAGCACTCGGCACAGAGAGCTGTGTATCTGCTCGGTAAAGATTCTGTACCGAATCTACGCAGTGAGTTAGCTCTAATTGAATTTTAATAACATACACTGGGTAAATAATGTATACAGATTAGGCACAGAAATGAAAACGAAATAATCGCGTACTGAGCGGAACCGGTGAGGAAGGCCATTTAGGCACGTATTACAGAATGACAACTAAGTGTTGATCTTTACTTGAGTACAGTTAGAAAGGGATGTCGCTATGTGCTATATATAGCGACATCCCTTTCTAACTACGCTCAAGACTAGATCAATCACTGAGAATCTTTCTATAATACGGGCCTAAGACTGTTACAAGCACTTCTGAATGCCTAAAATTTGGTTTGTTAATTTACGACAGGAAATGTTTACCACCTTTTTTAAGGAGAACCGGCAGAAACTCATGGCTCAGTTACATTTGGTTGATGGCCCATAATCGGGTGCACGAAAGACATTACTCGAATTCGGGCACCCGAAGGAATATTTACACTGGAATACGGAATGGAAGACGGTGTCGGGTAACCAAAACAAAAACTATCCGGATACGGGTACTCGACTCCGTTTATTTACACTTAGGTCGTATTCGGGCTAACGACCAAATGTAATCATGGCATCAGCAGGGGGTGTTTTTTTCTCTCTATGTTGTTTTCATATGATTTACTGTAAGGATTCTAGATCTGCCGTCCTCAAGCAAAAACGCGGCTAAATGACACAACCAACTTTTGAGATATGGCCAAAAAACGGCTCGTAAACTTAAAATTATTGCTATTTTGTAACCATTCAGCACATGACGGATTTTTAGACTTAAACTATAAAAGATACGAATACTTGTTAAAGACAGATCGATAGAGTATTAAAAACTGTATAAGATGCAATTTAGGGCTGAAAAATCGACCACATGTCACTTAGCCGCACTTTAGTTTGAGGACGGCAGAGATGCAAATCTGTTTAGATATTTAGAAGTCGATAGAGAAACGCAAAACATGACTATATTTTTTTTGCAGTCACGTAAAAGCTGTTGCCGCATTCCGTGTATTTTTGTTTGGGAGTGTGTGAGTATTTATTTATTTATGCTAGTTTGTATGTTTGTTACCCAATCAAGCCAAAACTACTGAACAGATGTGGATAAAATTTGGTACGTATTATAGTTTATGATTTGGATTGAGATTTGGACTTTCTATGGCGGAAAATTAATTAGATTAGTGTGGGATTCTCGATAACTAAAGCTTATGCGGACGAAGTCGAATATTATGCTTTAATATAGGTGTTTTTCAGAAAAACTACAAACAGATTACCAATTGTTAACTTGAAAGTAAAGGATGCTAGACCCATACATCCTTTCAAGTAATAAAAAAAAACTTTTCTTTGTGTCACTAAACAGGCCCTGCCAGAATAACAGCGCTGGTGCGACACAATGTCGAATCAGCTAATGCTGAGGCAGGGTCCTGGTTAGCCCTGAGATTTTTGAATCTGTATCTGTAAATGAGGGTTAATAAAATATATATTGGCGTCGATTATGGCGTGATTCTCTAAACTTAAAACTAAATTTAACATCAGTCTCTCCTTTTCATTCTGTATAGAGAATGACAAGGATACGCTGTTGTCAAATTTAAGTTTAGATTTAGAGAATCGTGCCAGAATCGACACCATTATATTCTAAGAGGTAAGTATTATTATAGGAAGGCCTTATATCCTGCCGGTTCTAAACCTACCTGTTAAAGAATATGTCGAGCGGGTCAGGCGCGGGCGGGTCGCGGCGGCCATTGGCATTGTCGACGCACACCCTCTTGTTCTGCTGAGCCTTACACAAGTAGTCCAGCTTCCGATCTATGACCGTCAAGCGTTCACAGCTCTTCCTTTTAGGCGACGAATCAGCCTCCGATTCTGAGGAATCTGATGATCCAGCAGTCCCGTTGGGTGCAGGAGGTGCAGTCTCCGCCGGTTTCTTTCTGTTACTCATGTACGGTTGTAGGAACTGCATCAAGCCCATGTACTTCCAAGGGTAGACTTTCTTCGAGGAGTTGCCAGGCTCCTTGGCGAGCATCTCGCTTTGTCGCTTCAAGGCGTCGCGGTAGCTGTCCCGAAGCTTCTTCCATTTCAGTTTTACCTCCTTGACTGAAAACAGATGGAGGTTTTAAAAATGCATCAATTTTATTAATGTCGCATTTAGTATACTAAAGCGACATTAATAATTGAGCAGTATTTATGTTCCAAAAATTGTTTTAACAAAGATAAAAACCGAAAGATTTAAACAAAACCACTAAAATATAAAAATAAGTAATAAATTGTATAATACATATTCTAAGTTAAAATTAATATTTGGTGTCGGTGTCATGACAATGATATTTAAATCTATTTATATTTTTGGTTAGCACCCACCAATTCAAACTGGGCGCCTGTAGTGGATCATGATTCATGGGCATCATGGCCCAGTATCTCTCAGTGATGATGGTCACACTACAGCCCGCGGGCCATCTCCGGCCCTCGAATGGTTGAAATTCGGCCAAAATTGCGGATGACTAAGAAATCAAAATATCTCACCAAAAAGTAAAAAGATTACTTGGAACATGTGATTCTTGGTGATGTGACTTTTTGGTGAGGAGACGAGAAATCTCATCTAAACCAAAAATTTTAATCTTTGATCTAAACCACTACACCACTAGTCACTTGAGTACGAGGCCTTCGAGTAAGTACTAGTGAAACTATAGAAAATTTTATATAAAATGCTTTGATTATAGTCAAAGACAACAAACAGGTATATATTAATTTAGAGATACCGAAGTCGAAAAAATTTAAACGAAGTGAAACATCGTCAGCGGTCTGAAAGTTGATTATGAATTGATTCAAATCGCTCGCGGCGAATACATAATTCGATGCGATGCGAGTGATTCAATAATAGGGTATGGAAGGATGCGATGCGTTCGTGTAGCCGGCCGGAGCCGGAGGTGCGGCGAGGCGAGTCGAGAGCTGTGTGTGTGCGGTGCGACGCCGGGCGGCGGCGGCCGGCGGGGATGGCCGACGAAAGCCGACGCGAGGACCCGGCCGGCCGGCGCGCGGCGTATCAACAACACAAGCGAGCACGCTTACCTGACGACAGGTCCGTTTCCTTCATGACCTCCGCCCAGGCTGCGTCCTTGAGCTCCTGGTCCCTGTACTCGATGGCGGTGGTGTTCCACAGGCAGGGGTATTTGCGCACGGTCTCGATGAAGTGCTCCATGGCGGCACGCGGCACGGCTCAGCAAGGCGCGGCACAGCTCGGCGCGGGCTCGCGGCGCACACTGGCTCGGCCCCGCGCCGCCGCGCCCGCCAGCTCGCCGCCGCTCGCCGCCGCACGCACCCTCCCTTCGGCCCTGTCTCCCCCCGGTCCGTGTTGGGCTACGCTACGCTACCTGCTCCAGTTTGCTATCAACGAATTGTTATAATATTGTTGAACACTCTTTTGTTCTTTCGTTGCCATTTTTCATCTCCAAATTTGGTAAACTACGGCTGGCTTGTCTCGTTATTATTTGATAGCTTCGTTCAGCTATGTTTGATGTGATGATAAATTGGTTATTTTTCTTCTTTAGCGTAAACTGAATAAAACATCATGTCTCTTCACTGATCTCTTTTGACAGTTAAAAAATTGTATGTCTTTATTTGGTATCTATAGGTCGCTGTCGCTACCCTATCTGACTTGAAATATATACAGAGAAGTTTAAGCGTTTTAGAAAGGGTACCTACATCAAAATGGGTCAAATGCGAACTACTCTTATTTCCTCAAAATTCTATCCACCACTTTCGTTATAGACTTATTAAATCAGACACGGGTTAGGTGCATAAACAAAACAAATTTTTTGCTAGTTCTTGACCACCCGTTCGATGTTTTCAAATACTCGTACAGCAAGGGCACGGTAATTGGCTGTTCAAAGCTTTACCCTTTTTTATTTAGAAATTCCTTACCTAAGCCCTTAACCCATGTCTTGAGCCACATTGTGCTACGGACGTATTTCAAACGCCAAAGATTAAAAACGTACTAAACGCACTTACAAAACAGGGATATTTGGACTATAACGAATGCAAATTGTGTACATGTCAGTTGCTCCATCAAACTAAGAAAGTTGGCATATTGCCAGCCAGAATCAATCCTACTTCCTATTCCTACTAACATTATGAAAATTTGTATGATTGTTATTCAATCCTTTGTTTCTGCGAACAGAGGAATAAGTTTGAAATATCGCACAGAGAGAGAGCAGAACTTGAATGAACACAAATCACGAAGAATAAAAGGAAATAATAAACAAATTAACTAAGCGAATATAATGTCCGGCTTACACGAGGCTAGTTTTTCAAGATAGGATAGCAAACTAGTTGTCTACTTCATTGTCCTGGCTTGCTGACATAGCTTGGAACATATTCGTCCTGTGTACATGAGGCTCATGTAAACTATTGCAGTGATTGAGGTGACCATACATCCAAAATGAACTGCATGCGAAAATAAAATACTATTCGACTAGAACAGTTACTTCGAAAACTGTGCCAATTCGCACTTGGCGAACTACATAGAAGATGAAATACAAAAATGGGTGTGGACAAGATGCTTCATTTTATCCAGTGTTTAACTTTCTATGACATTTTGATGGAGTAATTTCTATTAAGTACCTGATGCCCGGGCTAGGCCTGTTTGCATGAGGCTCATGTAAACTATTGAAGACCATACGTCCAAAATGAACTGCATGGGAAAAACATTATTCGACAAAAACAATTATTTCAAAAACTGTGCATATTCGCTCTTGACGATCTAGAAGATGAATTACAAAAATGGGTGTTGACGAGATGGTTAATTTTATACAGTGTTTAACTTTCTATGATATTTCGATGGAGTAATTTCTTGCCCGGGCTACACGAGGCTAGTTTCTTAAGCTAGGACAGTATACTAGTTGTCTACTTTATTGTCCTGGCTTGCTGACGTAGCTTTCAACATGCTAGTCCTGTTTGTATGAGGCTCATGTAAACTATTGCAGTGACTGAGGTGATCATACGTCCAAAATTCAAACTGCATGCGAAAAAAAACACTATTCGACTAAAACAGTTACTTCGAATACTAATATGTTTATGAATAAGTAAATATCAAAACATTGCTATTTTGATTAGCCTGATACAATTACATACATACTCTTATTACCTACCTAATTAAAGAAATATTAGAATACGTTATTGTCTTTCCGTGATTTTTCCTCATGTGGAATAGTATTTCCGTGATTTTTCCTCAATATAATGGATTACATCAACTCTACAAATTAGTCGGCTAACACTGTCAAATAAGGTTATTTTAATATCATCAACAAATTTGTAGTAAAGTAATATTGTTCCCAAGTAAAACAGGTAATCTAAAAAGTGGAGATAAAAATAATTCACAAACATGACTTCACGTTCACGAAAACCATTCGTTCACGCAAATTGTCTGTGATTGCGAAGATTGCTTAGAGAATCATGCCAGAATCACTATCATGAATATAAAGCTTAATTTATGTTATGTACTCCACAAAAAGGTACCATATATTTGGATTGGGTACAATATGAAGATTAAGTGTTACACGACACAATTACAGTGGATGTACTATTTATAATATGTATTTACTATTTATATATGCATTTGTATGAAGGCAACACAATATTACAAACAATTTATTTCAGGAATTTATTGGATGAAAAAACCGAACATAGGCTTTTTACATGCTTTTATTTAACTTGCAATGTATGTTTGTTTGGGTGGAATCTTGCAACTCAATTTTAAGGCACTTTCTCTCAACCAATTGAGCTGAAATTTGGTATGCAATGCACGTTCAGTTCGGATGACAATGCAAACGAGCCAGTGCCGAATGTGGCCGAAAGCAACCGAGTTGACTGTCAGTCGCGTTTACATACAATTTTTTGTCGTACCTTATATTACTAAGTCACAAAATCCTTAATAATATGGGGTGTCCGGCCTTTTTAGCTAAATGTCCGGCCAAACTGGCTGGTCTGTCCGGCAATTAGGTTTGTCGACCTGACAATCCTATTTACAACTCGCGGCTATACACGGCAAGCGTACGAGCAGCAAGTGGTCGCCGCGCGGGCAGCTCACGAGCGAGGCAATCAGTTGACGTTACGGAGTTAATGTAGTGAGTGCATACTCATACAAATCCCTACAAAGAATATCAACCGCACGAGTTGAAGCGGTGCTGGTCGGGTGTATGGTTACCATTAAGGAATTTCAAGAGTCCTGACAAAAATCCTGACATTTAGAGAAAAGTCCGGACTTTTTAGTTACAAAATGGTAGCATTACTCACTTAGTTACAATGGTATGGTATTTAAAACAATATGTATAATTATTATTCATATTCAATAGGGATGATGACTAATTTCGTTTTCTTCGTTTATCAGGTAGATTATGAAAAAGTATTGGACACGTATTTTTTATTTTTTCACATAATATAAACATTGCAGAGATATATTGATTTGAAAAGTCGCATGACGTCACGTTTGAATACACTTTTAAGTGAATATTCACTAAAAAGTGACGTCACGAGCCCCTACTCCCAAACTTTGACGCGCTATAACTTTGTCATTTTTTGGTTGATTGCCCAAAGAAAAAATACGTGCCCATTATTTTTTGATCATCTAACTGATGGACTAAATAGAATTTCGTTTCCTGTACCCCGTCATCACCCCTATGATAAAATTTAAAAAATCCGGATAATTTAGAGATCCGGATAAAGTCCGGACTATAGTCCAGAAATCCAGACATGTCCTGACTAATCCGGACGGACGGTAACCCTAGTCGGGTGCTGGCTGAGTCTAACGAGCTGTGTGTGACCTTCATACTATATTCCAAGCATGGAGCACTCCACTTACCGGTGAAAAGTAATGCCATCTTTTTGAAGACCCGGATGTTTTACCCCACTTTCCTGACAATTTTAATATACAGGACTGTATTTTATACAGTTTTATAACACGAAAACGGAACAAACAATACGGCTAACGCTCGGTTACCGAATGAAACGATGTTTTGCGATGTTTGGGGGCGTGCCTCGAGCATAGGTAAAATTTTACTTTACGCTGGCGGATTGTCCCGCTTGGGACTCCGAACGCCTAGTCTTGGTCGGAGAAATCGGGCAGGATCTGTCTCCGCCAGCATTGATTGCGGCAATGCTTGCGGATGAGGGAGGTTGGAGGGCTGCGGCCTCCTTCTGTGAAGCGGTGATGCTCCAGAAGGAGGCCGCCAAGCGGGATCGGGAGATGGCCGATCCCGCCCGAAGACGGCGGCGTCGGGCCAGATAATGGCCTGATGTGCCGCCGCGGGTCGCTGGTGAGCACGACGTGCTCATCAGGAAGCGACCTGGGAGGGACGACACCCCCGCATGGCCGGGGGGTGTCGTCGTAGGAGGGTGGATGGGGGAGGTTGCGAACACTCCCCCGAGAAGGGCTCCCCTGGAGGAAGCAGGGGAACAAAGGCTGCGGGTCCTCAGATGCGATACTCGATCCTGAGGCCCCGTACAATGCCTGATGGCGGCCATCGCTGGGGTTTTAGTGGGTAGGCTTCCCCTTTTTGGGGAGGAGAGCCCCACATAACCACCATGTGGAAAAAAGGAAAACCAAAAAAATATTTTACTTAAGTTTGACGCAAGCGCTTGCCCTTGTATGCAGCCTCTAGTGGAGGTGCTCCATGATTCCAAGCCAGCAGGTACCTATGATACTGCCATAGTTGTCTATTGAATCTTACTATCATCCACACTTTACTTCTGGTCTTTGCAGCATAAGTACTTACGTAGGTAATCATGTAAAAAACATACAAACAATGAGTTGTTTTTTCAGTAAACGAGATGCTTTAATAAATTCGTGATAATAAAAATGGCTCTGATGAACGGCTCGGGGTGTTGTATTGCCTATTTGTCCGGTTACCCTTTCACGTTGTTAACGCAATGTTCATTTACGCCCAGCCGCGTCCGTCGCCTCAATTTAAGATGAATAATCGTCCCTAAGACAATCACTCAAAGCTTAGCGGAAAAACGTCTTGTGGAGTACCCCTTTTTTAGGATTACCAAGAATAAGTCAAGAGAAATTGTTTTCGCTACGTCTATTGTGGACTAAAGGTTTTGTTTTAAGCTAAGCCTTTTCAAGCCTTTACGTGTTAGTCAGTCAACAGCCGAGTTAACATACGCCGCAATTGATCAATGTTTCAATAAAATAATAAAGGTAACGTAAAAGAAAAAAAGGCATTCTTATACGATCACTTTGTTGTTCGTCTGTCTGTCTGTCAAGACCCTTTATTTCGGGAACGCGTTGAGTCAACTGATCCCTTGAAGCTGTGAAAAAAAAACTTCTTACTCGTAGTTATTAAC